CGGTGAAAGCAGACACCTCTGAAGTGTGCCTAGTATTTTACACATTGTATACATTGAAAATAGATTTAGCAGGCAGTTAAAACATTTTACTTCAATGAAGTTTCCTGGAAAAAGAAAAAAAAAAACCAGGACACTAAAATCTTGCAGAGAACTTTCAAAGACTACAAACGATACAGCTGATCATGCAGTTTGTTTCAATCATTTGGAGGTAAATATGCCTTCAATTCAAAGGAGCAACTGATTACACAGTAAGGAAACTGCTGCGAGACCAAGGTCTTTTCATGTTTGTGCTAGCATGTTTTGTCACCATGGATACTAAAGTAATTACTATAGATTGAATGAAAATATAACACATGATAAAATTGCATAGAGTAACTAAAAATAAAATTATCATTGTGCTTTCCTAGCCTTAAATAATTGAAATGAAAACATGGGAGCAATTCAAGCAGAAGCGATTAAAAAATATTAAAAGAAGTTCAATCATGGCACCATCTCTTTTGAACAAAGGCCCCATCCAGCCATGATTATGCATTCAGCGGCATTATTACTAGGGCCAATCTCAGGCAGTTATTTTTCCTCCCCTGCCTGATTGTTCCCTGTATCCATGATGACCAGGCCTTAGCAAGGTTATGTGGCAAAATACAGAAGACAGATCCATGCACAAAATAACCACCTGGGAAGAAGAAAAAGGAAGAGAAGTTTCCAGATCTTCTTCACTGAACAGCATCACATACCTTTGTGCTGCTATAGCCAGGCCAGAGGCTACATAAGCCGGTATTTGTACCAAAATGTTCTTCTAGCAACCAATCCTCTTGACCACTGGAAGTATTTATGTGCTGGAATCTTAATCCACTAATGAAGATCTACTTTTGGATATTCCAGATCACAGTGAAGGCAAAGAGGCTTCAACATTTTCTGGGACCTCTGTTAGCAAGAGGCATCCCAGAGAGCTAGAAGCTCAGTGATGAGAAGCGGCATGAGACCTTAGAGGATAAAACTCCAGAAAGTTCTCCCTCATTATCTACGGGGAGGCAGCCTCGAAGCTGAAGGAAGGTGGCCATTAGTGTACATGTTTGCTTTTGCACTGGGTTTGTATGTTAAAAGTTACCTACAGGCAGGCGTAGAATGAAAACTGCTGCTCGGATGCAGCGCAATGCTGTTAGCCACTCTTTGTAAGCTGCAACAGCTGTTTAGCTGGGAGGTCCTAGTCCAAGGCTGCCATGCAGGATTTTTCCTTCCTGCTCGGTTGTCGTTCTCGGGGATCAGCACTCCAAGTCCAGACAAACACCATGACAGTCTCAGACATTGCCACCTATGGCCCATAACGGAATTAGGCCCGGAACAGTGTTCGGATGAAGTTCATTTGTTTTCTACGCTTAGCACACAGGGAAAGAGGAGGATGGAGACATGCATTTAAGGTGAGAGGATTTGTAACACCAAACAAGCTATAGAACAGGCAGGAATACAACCCGGCAAGGGTGGGGTGGTGGAAACTAATTTTTTCAACTGACATTGAACACCATTAACAAGAATATATCAGCCCAGCATCCAGCTATGTCACCGAGGACAGCGTTGCTTGCTGAGCACACAGGGCACAACAATGGAAAACAGCAGGACACACACCTCTCCCACGCCAGACTGATGAACGACAGGCATCTACTAAGGGCTGTGTGGGAGTCCTCCCCAAACTGAGGATGCTGCCCACTTTCAACAGCAGCAGCATCTATCAAATTAGTACCCAAAGCCCTCGCGATTCCCAAAATAGAAGAGCTCATGCAGTCCTGTGCAACTTTGTGTCAGTTGCTGTAGCCTTCAGACTGGCTGATGGTTCCATCAACCTCACCATCATGATGCTCAAAGACGGGACGAGACAGTAACCTCAGAGACACAGCTATTCCGTGCTGTCACTTGGCTCAAGCCTGGAAAAGCCTTTGGGGGTTTTATTTATAGATATAGCCAAGAGGGGATTCAACAGTAAATCTTTTCCTGCAGTAAGATAAATTTGAGTGCAGCCTTCTTTACTTCCTAATTATTAGGAAATAAAGAACAAACTCAGAACACAGTGGTACAGTTCATACAGATTAGATTTCACCAAGAACAGCTGCAGGAGGAACGTCTTCGGTATTTGTCTATGTATGCTGCTCTCTTGGACATCAATAACAACTTAACGTTTTACATTTGCCTAGAGTGGAGAAGGAGGTGCCTAAACGGAAGCGGGGACCTTCACGTAATGCCTCAAGCAGGCATCTGATGCACAGGAGCAGTTTCCCCAACACAATACAGTATGTCCGTACGCTCAACGAGAACGGGAGACAATATTTTTAAACAAATCGATTCCTTTCTGGCAAAGAGAAAGTGTCCTCTCAGTCACATCAAATATGCCCATGCTATTCATAGTTCTATGTTTACAGACTGGGGCAACCCTATGTCCATGTTTCTCCTAACACATCGTCTTTTTCTCTTGGAGCCATTACTGTGGCTGAATTTAAAATTCTGGCCCTTTCTCCAAGATTTCTGGACATCAAGCAAACAGGCACAGCTCCACAGTGCAGCGAGTTAGTTTAAACACACATGTGGCAGTGGGATGTACACTGTAGTCTTCCCAGTATACCAACTGCACATATACAGGACATCCATATAGCAGTTTCTAGAAACAGAATCATGGCAACTAATCCTACTCACAGATCTAACAGACTGTTTAAATGGTATGATCAGCACTGTGGCAGTGGAAGGCAAAGTTAAACATGTTTTTAACATAGCTTAGTTTGACATTTCGCATACTTGGGTCACTTGTAGGGCAGCTCACTCATGAACTTTTAATCCAGCTTCAAAACTCAATGCAGATAAAAATTCTTTTAAGTTCTCGTAGATTTGGAGTAGCTCCGCATTCAACCATATCCTGTTCTTGACAGATAAAAAGCCTGTACCATGATGCTGCAATGTAATCACAAATACACATGCATGATCGAGACCATCAAAGACATTTACGCACTTACTTAGTTCTTATAACTCTCTATAAAAAACTCACACACTTCTTAAATCAATAACATTTATTTCCATTAAACCAAGACAAATTTTCAAAATTAATACAAGATAAAAATTCAAGGTCGTTGGCAAGGGGAAAAAAGATAGACTGCATATCATATATGTTATTTTTAAATGCTCAAAAATATTTTTGAATAAAACAATACTGGCACGTAGAACTGGCACTTTCCCACAGAACAAAACCAGCGGAATTTTCCCTTCTCTCCTAGTCAGTAGTTCTATGAAAACTAAACACACATACATGCAGCCTGCAACTTTCATAGCAAAGTTTACCATGGGAATTTGGAACAATCCTCTATCAGAAGTCACAAAATTGTAGCAAAACACTTATTCTACTGCATTTTTGTACCCGGTGGATTTTATAATACTCCCTCTTTCAACCGACAACAATCAGCCTTCCAATGTTTACAGTAAGTGCTTAAAACTGCATTACTACTTGCAAACATGCCTGAGGCATTAATAAAGCCTTATTTATTTGATACAGATTAAAGCACTCTTGCAAAATTACCGCTCCTGCCCGAAATCCAAGCCACTGAAATCCACAGTTTTGCCTGTTGGTTTCATTGGGCTCCGAATTTGCTATAGCATTGGACAAAACACACAACAAACAACATTCATTTATAATTGTTTCAATAAAAATCTTCCACCTTGAAAGCAGTATTTTCAAGTATTGCTATCCTAGTCTTCTAACGCCTATTGAAAATCCTCAAGAAACAAGACAAACAAAAAGAGCCTGATGGGAGAGAAGAGTGCATTTAAACTCCCTCTCCTTACCCCACCCCACCCTCCCACCCAGGATCTTGCTGACTTAATTCCAAACTCGCTATTTATTGTACAGCCGTGGCCTGGAATAAGCTTTCCCTGAGCACTCTTTCTACCTGTTTCAAAAAGTCAGAATGTGTTTACTTGAATTCAGCCATTATTATTGCATTATTGCCATTTTCTTTGCTAATATGTGACATATTTTCTAGGCAAGTTATTTCATTTTGGTAGCCCTGGATTTTACACGTAGACAAACTTGTATTCTATTGCTCCAAATACAGAACTTGAAAGTGCATCTGACTTCTAAACAGTATTATTCAGGCAGGTTTCAGAAAGTAACTAGACCCAAAAGATCTACATGCACAAATCTTCATAATGATTCATCTCCATTGAAAGACGCAGAATTTATAGCATATCTGCTCGGAAATCTAGTGGCATAGCATCATTAAGAGAGAGAACTGCTTTGCATCCTAAAGTCTGGATATTAGAAGGGAACTAAACACCATATTGTGCAAGAGGAGTCAGATATGGAATGGGAGTGAGTATTAATTTCACATACAAGTCAAGCAAGCGTTTCACGTGCAAGATGCAATACTGCATCATCGTGGCATTTATATAATCTTTGGAGGTCTAGTCTCTGCCTGCTACCCACCTTCACACGAATGGGAGTTGTGTGACACACAGAAGGAAGCCTCAGAACTGCATTAAAATTTTGCTTAAACTAGTCTAAGTCACAGATATTGTCACGCACTTTAAATGCAAATCCCCAGAGGACTGACCTAAAATGTACCATGAAATACTACACAATATAAATACTCTAGGCGACTTGTGTTAAATGCTGCTGACTGTACTCAGAATTCAGTAGTCTTGCTTTTTCCTTTTCAGTATTTCTAGCATACTAAAAGGCATATTTATGTCTTCCCCCATAAATACAGTTAATCTAATAATTTAACTTTGTAGATTTATAAAATATTTTCTATGCAACTTAACACAATAGCCTAAAAAAGCAATTAAATTTAAGAAATAGTATATTTACAATTAAAATAAGTACAGACCTTATTGGATTTGCATTCATTTATCGCACAAAATAATTTACAAGGCTTAAAGTAATAAATAAGTCACTGGAAAGCTTTCAGAGGTGTGCGTTCTCCGTACGTCAGAGCGGAGTACAGTTTCAGGAAGCAGTAACGTATTCTGGCTAAAGTTTTTTCATGAGTCCTTATGTTGGACGGCCTTGACCAAAACGGGATTTTGACCTGGATTAAGAACACATAAGAAACAGATGAATGTTATTACTGCTAGAATTTTAAATTATTGTCCAGCCAGCTCTCTAGTACAGTATTTGTTTGAAATTACTTTCATGTTAAAGTGTCTTCTGAGAGAAGAGGAGGGGGGAAAAAAAAATTCTCACTCAAAATCTATTATTGAGAAAGTTGCGTTTCTGCCAGGATACCTGTACCCACAAACTACATATTCATACAAAGGTAGGCAGCTGAAAGAACTGTGATGTCAAATATCTTCTTTTGAAATCACTAATTCTACAGAGAGAAAGTCACATGCATTTTTTTTGACAGAAATTAGACCTGTGAGAAATTCCTCTGACAACGTATCTGAAGCTTCCAGCCCAGCCTGTCCCTTAAAAGTTGGTCAGCAGCTCCACTATAAGCTTCAGCTCAAGAGGCTCACCTGCTGGCCAGATTATGACCCGTTCTAGGCTCTACAACTGCACATGGTGTCCCAGCTTCTCAGTTCATTTTTGTTTTATCCATTTAAGGCGTAGAAGACCAATATGCAGTAATGTAGGTTTTTGGTGTGGGGGGCTTTTTGGTTTTGTTTTTGGAAGGAGGCCAAAGAATAGGCTAAAGAATCTTGGCTAACAATTTTCCAGTTATCCGTAATTTCGCAAAAAATTATACTGGAGCAGCAGTCAACCTTCCAACATAGAAGCTATATAGCAGTTCTTCCAGCATGGCTAAAAGAGTTTCATTCTCTCAGCTCTAGTTTAGTTTGACAAAGGAAGCTTTCACACCATATATGGTTAACCTGCTGGAAGGGATGCCGATTCAAAAAAAAGTATGTGACACGAGGCATGCTTTTCTTTAAACACCCACCCCCCACCTGAAATCCATGTTCTGCTTTTTCCTTTTATTTTGAAATCTTACCTGGCAATCTTCTCGGCATTGTTTTGTCGTGCACTGACCTGCGCTGAGGCCTTTATCTGAGCTTCAAGTCTAGAATAAATGCCTCCTGCATACTGGAATCCAGAAAAAAAAAAATCATGTTTTGACATTATTCCAATTTAATCAGTGTCTCTTCATAAAAATCACTAATATTCAGCACAACCTATGGCATACTTTGTTTCATGATCACAACCCAGTACTGAAACCTTTTAAACCCATCCTATTTTCCATGCCCAGTTTTTAAAGGCAGTGAACTTTAAATATTATTTTAAACTATTTTCCCCAAAAAATCATGCTTGGAACAAAATGAAGATTGATAAAATTCAGTTCTTTAGCTTAAGTACTGAATAGATGGTATTTTCATTTGCGTTACATATTTTTGTTGCCAAGGCTCGCTTCAATTCTGTAAACGCTACGTTGAGACAGGACAAATCTTACTTCTTTGCTGTCTTTTGACTTGACTCGATCAAGGTCTCCCAGTCTCATTTTTATTAAGTGCCCTGTAATCTCAGACATTCTTCTCTGATCTGTCAAAAATAAGAAAAAAATACTTAGAACAGAGGTTTTCCTTGCTACTCAATACAAAGAGAGAAGAATTAGACGCACGCTTTAGTGATATTCTATTTGTAAAATTAGCTTTCTTTTCAGCTCATATAAAAATCTTGAACAACCAAGATCCTAGATCCTGATGCTTAATGTAGCTTCAGCGGTGTTCTTGGCAGATACCAGAATCAGCCTGAGGCATTAGAGAGATATCAAAATCTATGGGAATGGTTTTGAGGCAGAGCTTTTCAAAACAGCAAAAAATGCACAAGAATCTCAGGAGAGGACAAACATGGAACAAATGAATATAATTCTGAATATTTTTAGTCAGAAAGACTGGGAGAGAGATAGAAGTGAATGTTTATCTCTATCTGCACAGACAACAAATGGCACAGGGATGCAGGAAAAATTATTCACATACTTATACAGTCATCAGATGACACAACTATAATCTCTGTAGGTAATGTGCTGACATTCCAAATAAAGAACATAAACCACGCTAACATACGCTTATAATGCATTTTTTCTTTCTCCTGCAAACTTTGAACTCCTTTCCAATATTTTCCAAGACAGTAGGCCCAATGCTGCCCCTTTATTTTTCAGTCTGTGTGCAAGACTACAATCTATAGTTTTATATGGTGAATTTTCTTTCCATTTTCCTACCACAAACATTTTTTTCTCCTGTAGAATAGATGAGATTGCTAATAAATGCCAGTCAAATCCTAAAGTAACATTTTCAGAAGGAGTTCCTAGCTGTATGAATATTTTTGTACAGTTTGGAAGAGTCTGAGCTTGCTGCGTGGTTTGGATACAGCTGATTACTAACGATTAGCCTAGTTGAAATCTGTTCTCTTCCAAATGAGGAGCAACTATTAAAAAAAAAACCACACAACAACAACACAAAAACCCCACTGCTACATCTGAGATTAAATTCAACCTAAAGGTTTCTAAGTAGCTATATTTTAGGAGATTAGCCATTTCTTATATGAAAGTATAATTTTCTTTGCATAATATTAACTTTATGAAAGCTAACTCATGCAAGAACGGACCATCTTCTCTTTGAGCATCTTGGTTGAATCTTAGTGACCTGGAGGCATCCCATTTGTTCTGCTGCATACTCACACTGGTTAGAAAAGAAAGATGCACACAATGTTATCAGTAACAGATTACAAAAAGGGATATACTACAGCATGTTCTCAAGAACTTTGAAAATTACTTACATGAACGGAGATGCATCTCGGGAACTTGACTATCAAAGAAAGAAAACCACATTAAGTATGTTTTAAGATCAAGTCCAAAACTTAAGAGAATTCCACATTATTCAACCCAACCAGAGAGGCTGGTTTCACAGCTCTGATTTTACCTTGTCAGATGGCTTCTCCTTTTTCTGAACGCTAGGTGAAGAAATCACTTTCTTCGGGTGCTTGTAGGATTTCTTTAATTTCTCCTTTCTTCCTGCTAATTAAAGAAATACCTACTAACACCATCACAGATATTTGGAATTTCTACACAGCTATGAAAGAGTTTTTTCCCTTTATTCCTTTACAAACAGAATAAACGAACAGGCTATTTTCCCTTTGTTAGTGTTGAAGGCATGCTAATACACACAGATTACTCAAATGCTTTTGTATTACACGTGTACAGGAACTCAAGTACATATTTAAAATGCAGAGTGGTTACACGTAACTGCATAAGTTTTCTATTGTAAAATTAAAAGCAAGTGCACATAGAAGCTACATCTTTGACCACATTAATTCAATCAACAAGCTCTGAGTGATATCAGACCAAACAAGTTTAAAATCAAACTACAAAAATTTTCATGCCTTTTTATTTTTTTCTTAAACGTACTGGTGCACTCCAATCCCTTTGAGTCAAGACAAAAAGAACAAAGAACTGCCTCTGTTCAAATGGCTCATTACTAGGGCAGAAAGGAGAAGTTGCTTTTTGGCTTTTCATGTTCCTAAACCCCTTATCATATTTAAGAAACCAAAAACAAAAATCCTTTTAGATCACAGAGCTTATCTTCTATGCAGACACAATTCTAGCCATGTTCACTAGTCATTTCCCTATGTAACCAGAAAAAAATTTTGGGGGGGAAGCATGCAAAAGTATAGTCGTGTAGCTATCGCCTTTTCTTGCAATGTTTATCTACAAGAAACTTCATAAAAAAAAATTTGATAGTCTTTCCTGCAAAATACACCCTTGGTCAACTTTGAGGACATCTCAGACACGAATAGTTGCAGCTTTCCTCATTTGCCAGTGATTTTTGATGACACCAAACAATGGGTCAATTTGTACCTAAACACAGAAAAACTAGAAATAAAATTCAAGTAACATTATTTTTTATTTTAAAAATGCCTAATGTTTAAAATTTGCTTACATACGAATTCAGCTGCCTTGAATCCCTATCTCTAAATTCCAGGGAGGATGACTGTAGAGACTTGTTGTACCTGGTTTCCTGCATACTTCTTCTTCATCCCCCACTTCATCCTCAGTGACCTCTGAGCCAGTGGTATACTCCTCTTCTTCAGATAACAATGACTGCTGTTTCTAATCAACAGGAGGAGAGTGCCACAGATTATAAGTGAGGCTTGATTCCTATCAAATGATACATTAAATCTGTCTTGAAGGAGTTGTCTTCAAATCTAGCTCCATATCTTAGTGACATAACCGTGTGCACAGTTAGGTCTGAGAACATGATTCTCAAATATTGAGAAAGTAATTTCAAATCTTTGCTCAGAATGTTTTGATAAATATTTTTTTTTATGTTTCTTCCAAGCGGTCAAACATTGTAAGAGATGCCCAGAGAGACTGTAGAATCTGTATCTTCAGAGATTTGACTGGATATGAGCCTCAGCAAAGTGATATAGCTTTGAATCTAACTTTGAAGGTGGCCCTGCTTTGAGACTGGGAGGAAATATGTAAGATGACTACCAGAGATCCCTTTCAACCTATATTATCGTATGCTTCAGTGTTTAGTATCCAATGTATTGCTGGCTATATTATTTTTCTAATTAATAAGAAAAGTTATGTTATCGTAGCAAATATCTGAGCTAGCCATGTAATCGCAGAATGCAGGAAACTACAAGTTTACTTACGGTTCTATTGAGGCTTGCTGCATCTTGCAAACTGCCTGAAATTGCTGAGATAGTAATTACATACCACAAAGCACGCATACTGCAGTGCACTACAAGTACACACAGACTCTGTACACCAGGGTTAACTGCATTAATAATTTATTGCAAGTTGGTCTGGAATATCTGGTTGGGTTTTCTGTGAACTCACCCTAATACCTAAAACATTTTTTTTCCTTCCATCTCCTGTACATCATCATAAACCACTGGCTCCAATATTGCAATAGATAGGGTCACGATGACTAGGGGTCACAGTGACTAGTTCCTAACTGATCAGCACAGCATAGTGAAAATATTAAGGAACGTGATGTTTAGATTGTTTTAATATATACAAATAACTTTTAAAATAAGTGATAGAGTGCCTAGTAATCCATGAGAAATGATGAAGCCCAAAACGGACTGCAAGTTCAAAAAGTTTGCAACAGGAACAGTCTTAATATAGGACACTAGAAACATCACACTCCAACACAAATCATCAAGAGTGACAGAAGTAAATTGCCGCTCTCTAGCATTTACATTTAAAAAATAGTAAATCGTGACATTCTATGCTGCTGAAGAACAACTCCCCATCCTCTGTGTTTGACTAGGTCCCCAACCCTGATAAAAACTTTTTGCCATGAAGCAGCAGCATAAAGAAGACATGAAGCATCTCAGACAAGCCATCAAAGAGAGACACACTCAAAAACGATGATTTTGATGATTTACATATCTGTCAGCCTAATGAACTATTAAGAACTGATGTGTGCATTGCTGGTCTATTGTTTGTTGTCATTTATAAAAACATTTAAAAGGAATTTTTAACATTTCTTCAAGCCAAAGTAGTACTTCACACATGCTTCATGCTTTCTTGTAAAAATTGTTGCTATACTGCAACCTCCAAACTAAAGCAAAAGAAAATACATTTTCCTCAACATTAACTAGAAAATGAGACAAAAATCAAAGCTAGATATCTGCCAGTGCAGAAGAGCAAGCATTTAAAATTATGAACAAAATATTTTACTAACCAGCTGTAAAGTCCAGTTCTTCAGAGAAAGAAACTGTAGTCACAAAAAGAGAAAGGCATATAAGTTAAAGAACTAATAATAATCAGAAATAAAAAAAAAGAGTGGAATTCTAAAAATAGGAGTGGTATGTTATAGTACAGCAATCTACGCTGATAACTCCTACAAGGCTTACTCTCATCTTTAACTAGACATTTTGGTGGAATGACTAAGTGTGCAAACAGGTTGTGAACTATTAATTGATGAAATGCCGTGAATTCATAATCATGTTTTAATTTGACTAACCTTAGCACTACAAATATTTACAGCTGATTTTAATCAAAAAAGCAGTCCAGGACCAGGGGGGGTGGGGGGAGCGGGCAGTTATGTACCAGATTGTTATGGATTTTAAATTTAATAGCCTCCCACATTTGTTGCGGGAGAGCTTCTGACACTCTGTTTGAAATTCTCAAGGAATCAGCAGCATCACGCTACCATCAGGATCCTTGAGTTACCAGAAGTTCCACAATGGGTGCAGAACTTTAAAAAAACTTATCTTTGCATGAACGCTCTCTAAACCAGAGGTAATGTTATAAACAGTCTCCTTAAACTTGGCTTAGAAAGTATCTCTGTTGACCTGACATACGCGTAGTGACATACATGCACCATAGCTCAGGAAAGTAAAATCTTCCACATCCTGAGGGGGGGAATTAAAAAACCAAACAAAAGCAAACACACACACTCAAAAAAACCCAAAACCACAACCCAAGTTACTGTTCTGCATTTAGGGGCTTGTAAAAGTCATGGGGACATACCCAGCTACATCAGCAGACAAAATGAAGGCAGCAATTATTTAAATATTTGCCACGTGACGTATTTTAAACTATGACTGGATCCTTAAATATCATCAGTTTAAGAATGGCGCGGAAAGCACAGACATACGGGGAATTGCCTCTGATATACAGAAATATTTCCGGCAGACATGGTAAAAGTTTTGCCTTTTCACCAACCAGGTATTTTGTACCTATGCTAGCCTATGCGATCCTGCAATGCTCAGCAGTGCACTTCTGCCTCCAACACCACATGGGTTTTGTTTTTATTAAAAGTTGTCTAATGAATTCTTCAAAGTACCCTTGTAAAAATCTTCATTATCAGAACAAAGAGGGGAAAAAACCTTAGCAGTCACTCACAGCATTGATTTCTCCGGTTTTGGGACCCCATGGCGTATTTGGTTCTACAAGCACATCACATTCAATGCCTTTTTCATCACAGAGCCCAATACCAGAGTCACTTAAAGAGAAAGATGTGAAACAAAAATAAATTTTTCTATTTTGTAACTTTAGAATCAGTCTCTCTTTACTCATCATGTACCAAAAGAAGACAGACCTCCAAGTCAGCTACATAATATTTTGATAACAATCCATTAAAATATAAAGATAGGCGTGCTGATGGGGGTCAAATGACTAAACGTCTGCTTGAAATATAAAAGGAAAAAGTACTTGTTCTTCTCTTCCCAATTTCCAACTAAACAATAAAAAATAAGTTACCTTTAAAAAGGCCTATGTCACCCATTTTAAAATGGGAGAGAAGTCAAACATAACGTGCACACGTGTTAAGTGTTGAAGGCTAAGTTATTTCAGTAACACAATACAATGTCCTTACCTATTCTCATCCTTAGTGAAAGGAACAACAATAACACCTCTATGATGAAGCAGATCATTCAATATTTTAGTAGTCTGAGATGGCAAAGCATCCCCATCTTCATTTCGTGAAGGTAAGTCAACCATGTGATCCCTCACTTCACAGCCCTGCGATACATATACACAAAAGATCAAATACTTGAGTTAGTGGGAAGAACCGATTTCAGTAAGTACAATAACAAAAGTTCAGCTTTTGAACTTTTGTGTCCCAAGGTCCTAGCCTGCCTTGGGACACTGCAACAATTTACAATCCTTATTTTGGAAAGGATCTAGTTTCGTAACACACTGTCACGCAGGTCAACCAATTGACAGTCCCCCAAAGGCGCCAATAAACATCCCGCCAAGATTTCAACTCCTCATGAAGGCAAATTAAGTACTCATGGACTTCCCAGGTTTTGTCTCTGAAAAAGCAAACGGTCAGGCTGCATACAGAGTCAGAACTCTGGTTTGAGCCTGCCACCAGAAAGGTGAGGTGGAGAAGGAGCAGAACAACATATGCTCCACTGGTGAAAAGTCTACAGAAGAGTTTAGAACAGGAAGGATACAACATCGGACAATCGTTACTAAATTCAGAACATGACAGAAGAGCCTGTGTTCTTTCACAACATCCTAAACTTACTAATAACAAAGAATTACAGCTTGATTCATTCTCAAGCTCCATATACTGCAAATTTATAAGCTAAGATAAATATCAAGCCTTTTAGAAATCAGGAGAACCATAAGACAGAGGAAAACCCAATACCCAGACTAGAAGAAATCAAAATATGCACAGGCAAACAAGTTTAGTCATATTGCAGTTTTCTGTCTTTAAAGTAATATGTTGTGCAACAGAAGCAAGTACTGCCA